AGAGCGGTGGGAATTTAATCAACTTATACCGATAATTCCTAATTTTACGCCACATTTATGAGATAAAATTCAAAGCCGAGCTTAAACAATTTCTAGAAAAAGATTATATATTTTTAAAAACAACAAGTATATTTAATATATATATATATATGACATTTGTAAAAATTGGAATTGCTGCAATGCTCGTTTTATAACACTGAGGGGCGTTGTTGGACAGCGTTCTCTAACTAATCACCTGTATGGCGCAAACATCTTGGCCTCACTTGAAGGGAAATGAATTCAAAAGTGATCCAGGTCTGTGTGAGTTGATCTGTCACATCAAAACTGAGTGTCCAGACTCTACTGTATGGTAAGTGTATTTTAAAGATTTGGTAAAGACGTTTTTTCCTGTTTTTATAAATATCTGCCTTTGCCTAAGGTGTTTGCTTCAACTTAGATACTTATTCAGCTTTTTCACATTTCTTTTCTACCATAACTACATATATACTCACCAATGTCACCATCATGATTTAAACTTACTGCGTGTATCCTTTTTTTTTTTTTTTTTGCCTAACAGTTACCACATTTACTTTCCACCCTGATCTACACCCCAGGTTTTGTTGTTGTCATGCACAGGAAGTAACTCTTCTGCTTTTGTGTTTCTGAGGTTTCTGGTTTGTGTTGCAGAGTGCGTAACAGCTCCTGCTCCTTCCTCTCACCTCAGCAGAGCACTTCACGGTCAAATGGTAAAGAGAAGGTATGAGGGCCAAGTTTAAACTTTCGTCAACCAACCTGTCCTCAGGACCAGCCCAGAGTTAACGAAGCAACGCCTTCATGCCCTGCTCAGTGAAGACCCAAAATACTGCCTTTGCTGTAAGCTTCCTTACAGTTGCTGAAGTTTGAGGCGACAGCTTTTTGTTGCCCAGCAGTGGAATACTCTTAAATTTCTCAGAGGAAGGTGTCCGTGTAAAGCTGCCCTCCTGGATTATTTGTGGAGATTAGTGATGGGGAATGCGGCTCCAGGTGGCCAGGAGCAAGAACCGGCTCAGGGCCGGGAGACTAGGATCTCAGTGTCAGCTTCAACAACGAGTGACCGCATGCCAACCATCCAGAAGACTAGTCCTCCCAAGCTTCCCATGCCCCCAGAGGAGGAGCTGGAGGAGCGCTTCAATGTGGTACTGGTGAGTGGATACACCTGCAGAGCTGCAAAAACAGAGATTGGTCTTGGTTTGTTTTAGTTTGGCTCAGTATCAGAGCCGGAGAGAGATGAACGGGAGCACAGATGGAAGCCTTATTTACTGGCTGTCATTTGCTGTTGGGTTAAAGAATTTCTGTGAAAAAACAAACAAACAAAGAAACAGGATGAATTAATTGATAGCATTAAAAACAAAGCAGGTAAGGTTTGTCAAAAATCAAATAATATAATAAATAACATAAATAACTGAAAGCTGACTTAAGGACAACTAATAACAAAACTAAAATGGATGTAAATAAAACTAATCATTTTGACAATATCTTTAGGACACAGACCAGCATAATCTAAGGTTAAAGATAGTCCATAGTTGAAATATGGATATAATATTAAATGTTAAGTTGAAAACAATCTTAAAGTATTAAAAAATAATTTCTAAGTGAAAAAAGAGTGCCAGTCAGAGTAAACAAGATATTTGTGAGAATAAATAGGTCCCTAAAATGACTTAAAACAGAAAAAAATTGGGTTCGGAAAATTAGTAAAGGAAAAAAAAAAAGAGAGAGAAAGAGAGAGAGAGATAATATAGACTAAACATCAACATCTGCTAGCCTTTTCCTGACTCGTGTTTCGCAATATCTAGGTTTTTTTTTTCCTGTGATTGAAGCAATTCTAAACCCATTGTTTCACAATAAAATGTTTCATTTATTTCACAGCCGTGTTTATTCGGCGTAAACTGTCACAGATAGCAACCAATTGTTTAGTTAAAAAAAAAAAAGTCCTCAAAGTTTAGTTTGTAGATGCCAGGCTCGGAAGTTGGTGCGATTAGGGCATGTGCTTGCAGCTTGTCTTTAGAGGAAGTTGTGCAACCCATTTTACATGAGTGTCGCTATGAAACCGGAAACAAGTGTTTCACCATTCTGTAAACTGTCTTCCTGCTGTAGGAAAATATCTGTGGTCTGTGACATCACAGAGTAAATCCCCTAAAACGTGGGTTAGGCGACATGGACTCAATTAAAAATTCAATTATCTAATCAGGTTATCAAGTCTTAATATTGGATAATATTTCCCATGCTTATTGTACAATGACATTGAAGTTCCTTGTTAAATGCATGGCAGTAATTGTCCATTAGAGCTGGCAGACCTTTTTCGCGTAATGAAATTAGCCAACTGATTTCAAAAGCAAAAATCAAGAAGTTCCATTGAGGAAAATGAAATGTGTCAATGAAATGTAGGAAAATATATCTTTAACTTCATTTTTCTCCTAAATACAAATTCAATCTTACGTTTCAGACCGGTTTCACTGAATGAAACAAAAGACCAACTTTAGCAGTAGGGTCATCTTACCAAAGTGTGATGTCATTTCCTCTATTTAGGAAACACTCACAGTCTGGAATTGTCAAAGAAATGCTGAAGGTTAATATAAACAGAAAAAAAAGAACAGGACTTCCTTCTTCATTTGGACATCATCGGCCTCGCGCTCATTCTATGCTCCATACAACGAGCGTTGTAGCGCGAAACCAACAGTTGGACTCCACCCTGCCCCGCCAAGAATAGAGCGGTGCAGTCTACAGCGGGCAATTTCCTCTCTTACTTCTCACATATCTTTGAATGTGTGAAAACAAAATGATGCAACACTGGGTATCTGTGCAGCAGTGAATTTAAGATGCAACCTTTCCTTAGATGAAGTGCCTCAGAATGTTTGACAGAGACTTTAATGCCCATTAAATATTAAATATTAAATATTAAATATAAAGAAAACCAGAATGCCCGGCTAATTTCTTCCCCAATAAAATACAAACATCTTTGTCTTTTGCCATGTAAGGTATGTTATTCTGATACTTTTTTGTTTATTAAATGAAAGACCTCCATGTCTGTAAGAGTAAGATTGTTGATTTGATTAAACCTGTTAGCTAAATGTAGCTCAAAAACCACTGGCAGGAAGTTGAGAAATTACCCCAAAGCTAAATGCTAAAACGGAACCAAAGACTACAAATTGGAGCAATTAGTCATAGTCATAAATATAACTGACCCCCCCACACAGTAAAACATGTCTACCAATTAGAAGTAAGCTAACCACACGGTAACTTAAAACTATGAATATAACTAGCAAGACTCCAGTTTTAGCCATACATTTGGAACAATAAAGCAAGAAATGCCACTCAAAATTAGCAGAAATGCTAAGTGAATGATGCCTCGAGACATAGTTAGCCCAAATTAGACAGAACATAATTGGTAGACATAGCCCAAATTAGACAGAACATAATTGGAAAAAGTAATATAGATAGAAGAATTCATCAATGGAATCTGGAAGTCTAGAATTAAAGGAGAATTTAATCAAATTAACTTAATGTAAGAAATTCAAATTAAATAAAACTTGAGGGTTGAAGTTGTCATTGACAGCCACCGCCACATACATGTAAACAATGAGTCAGTGAAGCTTCCGGCAGGTTAGTGAACGCCCTCGAGATTTTCTCCAAAAGTGCCTGTGTGGTTTTGTATGTGGTATCGTATAAAGGTTTTTTTTTTGTGCCTGTAGAACAAATGGCAAAGATGGAGAATTTACCACCTATAAAAACATGAATATGTGCAGACAAACCACAAGATGAAAATCAACAAATATACACGACTGTTTCAGTGAAGTTCAGTTTCTATATTATATTCTATTCATTGTATTTATGTTTTTATGTTATGTATTTATTTTTGTTTTAAAAGGGTTACATGAATCTGCCTCCTGACAAACTTCAGTTGTTGAGTCAGTACGACAATGAGAAGAAGTGGGAACTGGTCTGCGATCAGGTAAGAGCCTTTTTTTTTTTTTTAAATTAAACTTACCTTAACCCTGTGAGACAGAGCAGAACTAATTTGCATTAAAAACCATGTTGACATGGTGACAGAGAGTGTGAAACCACCCAACACTAGCACAAGTTAAAAGAAAAAAAAACATAAATATGTATATATATATATATTTAACTCATATTAAAATATATATATGTTAATGTTTTTTAAAAATGTATTATTATTTTAATTTATTTTTGTCAAATATCAAATTGCATTAAATTTTTTAAAATATATTTTACATGTTTTTATTTTTTATTTTTTTAATATAAATCCTAAGTATATATTTTTATTTACATTACAAGAATTTAGTTTAATATTGATAGTTGTATGGTGATTTTCTACATGCATTTACCTAGTTATAGTTTTTTTTATTTTCAGCATTATACATAATGTTTTTTAATCTATTTAAACATGCATCACACATATATTTTAGCATATATTTTTGTCCCAGATAAATAAGTTTATAACCTGCAGAATCTGATTTCCTTGAGTGTTGGTTTTCTCAGGAACGTTTCCAGGTCAAGAGTCCTCCGTCCACATACCTGACGAAGATCAAGAGCTTCTACCAGGACCAGGGAGGAGTTTCTCGCAGGGTCAGTGACGAGCAACAATGGCAACATGGCACATCGCCATGAAATCGCTTCAGTTTTCACTCTAATGAAATCATGCACTGACTTTTTGTATCCTTTAGGGGAAAAAAAAGATCCAAGATGCAACTCAGGTTCTAAAAGATCTGGAGATATCTCTTCGGACAAATCACATTGGGTGAGCGTTCTGGGTTTTGTTTTTTTTAATTATTATTATTTTGGGTTCAAATTGTAAAAGTCCCTTTATGGTTGTCATTGGTCAATTGTTTTTGTTGATAAGTCACAACAGCCTTTTGTTCTGCGTGCAGCTGGGCCCAGGAGTTTCTGGACGAGCAGAATAACGGCCTGGACGTTCTGGTGGAATACCTGTCGTACGCTCAGTGTGATGTGGCGTATGTACCAACCTCAGCAGCCACAGATTAAGGTTAAAAACAAACCACACGACACTGCATCGGCTGACGTTGTGTTGGTCTCCCTGCAGGTTTGATGTGGAGACCGTTGAAAATGGAGGCTCCCTGTCGGACAGAGGCAAACCCACAGAGAGATCCATGGAAGATCTCACCAAAAACTCCAACACCTCTCAGTCACACGGGATGACGAGAGCTGCACGGGCTCTGACCGTGAGGTACGGCATGAATCTCTAGACCAGGGCTGTCACACTAATTTTCACCGGGGGCCACATCAGCAGTACAGTTCCCCTTGAAGGGCTGGTTGTAAATGGAAGACTGTATAGATCAGGAGTCTCCAACCCCGGGTTCGCAGACCAGTACTGGTCCATAGGTCATTTGGTACCAGGCCACAGTGAAAAAAATGTACTTAATTTTTACTAATTTACTTAATTCAAAGAAAATCCAAACATATCCATTTACTTTCTTCATTTAAAAATATTCTGGATTTAAAATAAAAGTCATTCAGACTCTGATACAATCGGAATAGAGGTTAAGAAACTCTGCTGAATGGATTTTAGTAGATGCTTTTTAAGCTCCCGTGGGCCACACAAAACGGCTTGGCGGGCTACATTTGGCCCCCGGGCCTTGAGATTGACACGTATGCTCTAGATGTTTAACTTCTTCCATGAGGAAAAAAGTTAGATGTAAAGATCTGCTGAGTTAGATTTCATTAGAACTTTTAAGGTGAAGACGGTGACGATGAGAAGGGAAGACGGAGACAAACAAGGAGACGTGGTTATTTTCATTGCACTAATGAATGTGTATGTTGGCAGTTTAGGCGGTTGTTTGTTTTGTTGGCTGTTGCCATGGAGACAGAGAATGTGACGACATTCATTTTTACATTCTTACCTGTGTTACATTCATATTTATATATTTTTTCCTATAATTTTTTGGTTTACACAAATGATTATTTATATTTTTGTACATTTATATTTTTGTACATTATTTTATTTTAATGTTGTTGGCAGAGAAATAGTTAGATTGATATGTTTGTTTGACGGTCTGTTGTTAGGTAGAAAATTAAATTCCGTTCCTATGGAGCATAATATATAATGTTCCACCGTTAGTTCCATATCACAAAATATGTAGCAAAACAGAACCTGATGGCCGGAAAACTGTTGCTTCTACGTGGAGTTAGTCACAGCAACGGAGTTTGTGTCGACAGTTATTGTTGTAATATTTGTTCCTTGTTTTCTCCTTCGCAGAATCAGTTCCAGTCTGGCAAACAAAATGAGTAAAAAGCCACACTCACCCTTCCAGAGAGACGACGTGCATGTGTGCATTATGTGTCTCCGAGCCATAATGAACTACCAGGTAGGTCAGCCATACTCGACGACACTTGTGCTGCATCATAAATATAAATATAAATATAAATATAAATATAAATATAAATATAAATATAAATATAAATATAAATATAAATATATGCACAATTCATTTGAAAAGATTATTATTGCACTCAATTAAGCAAATACATGGAGACTAAATGAAATGAGCCCAAGGAAACACAATTTTCTCAGGCCAAGATGAAAAAAAATCTGACTAACAAGTTATTATTTAGTATATAATAATATTAATAATAATAATTTAGTAATAATGTGATATTAATTATCACTAATTTAATAATAATATTAAATAAATAATAATAAAAATACATGATTTAATATAGTTGTTATTTTACATATGCATTGTTAGTAACAGCGCATATCTAGAATAACCTTCGCGTGTTAGTTTCAGCTACTCTAGAACCACAGTTCTGCACTTTAAGATGTGGCTGTTTTATAAATAAATAAGAGAACGGCACCGTGGGAAATTAGAAAATTGAAACCCTCCACATTTTACATAGACACTTATAGCTTATGCTATAACCAGATGTACAGTGAAAATTAGATTCCACAGTTTGTTTGTTTACATGGTACAGCGCCAACCCAACGGCGCCACACATGGTCATATTTTGAATTTCTACCTTTCTTTCTACCTTTGTTTTTGTCAGTCTGGGTTTAACCAGGTGATGACTCACCCGCGCTGTGTCAACGAGATAACCCTCAGTCTGAACAGCAAGAATCCCAGGTCAGTTATTCCTCTGTGAGTCAGTGTTCTGTAATCTCACTCTGTATGCATCCAAACTCATCCTACAAATTGCTCTCTCCGGGCCTCCACAGGACCAAAGCTCTGGTGCTGGAGCTGCTGGCGGCCGTGTGTCTGGTCAGGGGAGGTCACGACATCATTCTCTCTGCTTTTGACAACTTCAAAGAGGTGAGCTGAGATGAGAACTCAGTCACACCTGTCTGGCGCGTGCGTCATAATTTGCCTTAGATTTTACTCAGTTTTGTGACTCATTCTGATACTGACTCCGTGTCTCACCCACGGGCTGCTCCTGAGTTGACGCACGTTTAACACCCATGGTTGTGTGTAATTTGAGGAAGGAGACTCACTGTGGTCTGAAAAATGACAATTGTCTGAAGTGCTTGTTTTTTTTTCTCTCCTCTTCCTCCTCCTGGTGGACATCAGCCGAACTGCATTTGATGTTTTGTTTCTTTTTCACCCCTGCAGGTGAGCAAAGAAAAGAGTCGCTTTGAGAAGCTGATGGAGTACTTCATTAACGATGACAGCAACATTGACTTTATGGTGAGTTTGTAGTGAACGCACCCCAAAACTGAATTAATTCCCAAGTTGAAATTTAAAATATTGCAAGAGAATATAGCAACGTATTCCTAAGATTATAATAATTAAAAAATTGACAAAAAAAGTAACCAAAGCTCAATGTTATGTACCGTATTTAGTACCGTAATAGCAGTGCTTCGGAGGGTTCATTCCCACTTCTGTCTCCAGGTGGCGTGTATGCAGTTTATAAACATCGTGGTCCACTCGGTGGAGAACATGAACTTCCGTGTACACCTACAGTACGAGTTCACTCACCTGGGATTAGACAAGTATTTGGAGGTGAGTACACAGTCCCCTGCAGTACAATCACATCCCTTTTTTATTTTTTTATTTAATTTTTAATCAAGAGTTTATAGCTAGGTTTCGCCCAGTTTTTACTTATACCTTTAAAAAAAAGAGTTTATAGCTAGGTTTCCCCCAGTTTTTACTTATACCTTTAAAAAAGACCATCAACCATTGTGACCCAATTTACAACATGGTGATTATAATTAAAAAGTAACAATATGCATGGTGTGAAATGTCTTATATTATACAGTATTGTGCACTTTATGTAATGAGAAAAATACTATAAATGAAACTAAACAGTGGTCCCCAACCACATTTTGACATTTTTGGCAAGTCAAAATGCACTAGCACAGATATTATCAGTTTTTTTTTTAATCGATTGCTAGATATTTCAGGCGACCCCCATTTGAATTCCAGGCGACCCCAACTGGATCCATAACCCTAAGGTTGAAAAACACTGCCCAAAGCAGTTCAAAATGATCCAAGTGCACAGACTATTAAATGTTGAATCATTTTGCAGTTTCAAATATGTATCCTCTGTGTGTCCGTGTGTTAGAGTCTGAAACAGACGGAGAGTGAGAAGCTGCTGGTCCAGATTCAGGCCTACCTGGATAATGTCCTAGATGTGGGCGCCCTGCTGGAGGACGCCGAGAACAGAGGAGGAGATCTGGAGAAAGTGGAGGAGCTGCATGAACAAAACACCCAGGTGAGGACCAAATGAGAAAAAAAGAGCTTCCTACCGAAGAACAGAGACGGGTTCCACCGATGTGACGTTAAGGAGATCGTTTCTTTTGTCGTAATGTAGCTGAGGGACCAACTTCAGGAGGTCGACGACCAGACGAAAGAACGTATCGCTGACCTGGAGAGTCGGCTCATGCACGCTACCAAAGAGACGGCGCTGTTGAAGGTAAGTGATTTATAATGAAAAGGTCTTTCTTTGTGGCCGTCAAACTGTCCAAGCCTGTCCCTCAATAACTTGCCTTGAATTTTTTTAAAATTTGCCTAGGACGGGCTTGTAAGGCCAAACTACATTGAGTCCACGGGTTTTGAATTTGAGTTCTGGTACAAGGTTGTGTTACAAAAAGAGGAAGACAGTCCAAAAAGACTGGATTTGAGTAGAGGTCAAGGAGAGTTGACGTCCGTGTTCGTGCTCGTTTTGGCAGTCCGACTTTCTCAAGAAAGATGCAACCATCCAGTTGGAACGTGGCAGACCAGTCCACCTCACTGAGGACACTGTAGTATTTATTAACGGTGTTCACATGTCTGTCCTTTCAAGGAAAGCCTCAGAGACTCCTGCTCCCAGGTCAGTGCTCTCCAGCAGCGAGAGAGAGAGCGGGAGATGGATCGGGAGCGGGAGAAGGACAGGGAACGTCTGAGCACCTGCGGTCTCTCGGAGTTAGAACAGAAGGTCCAGGAGCTGCAGGACAAGGGGTTAATCCAACTGGGCCGCAGTCCCTCAGGAAGCCTGGACATCCAAGTCCTGCCGGTCAAGGTGGTGGAATATGTCCAAGTCCCATCTCCTGCCCCGCCCTCGGTCACTCAGGCTGGTGATCTGAGTCCTGCCGGGTCTCCTGTGTCCGGCCCTCCTGCCACTACTGCTCCGACTCCACAATCAACGTCCCAGGGTTCGCCTCTTTCTCCCCCGCCTCCCCCTC